GGGAACTGTGATCCGAAGCATCGTCGGCAACTACAGATAAATTTATTTATTTCACGTGGTAATTGGTACGATGGTTTGGTATTTTTTACGGTAGATTTTAGTATTACCTAACCCAGACCTAAGTTTTGATTTCTTCATGATTATGAAGTTGAAGAGAATAAAATCAAATTGAACTCATACAGTGACTCGAACATTCGTTCACAGACTTCTGATATAACAATTATGTAAGAAATCAATTTTTAACCGTGAAAGTTTGAAACCATTCTGTTAACCAGATAGAATATAACAGATGAAATGATATTTCGTCGGTACAAATTCCCTCTAGTGTGTTGTCCAATCCAAATTGAAGCTTTAAATGTTCATACAGGTGAGAATATAACGGATCCAACGAAACCCTGGATAATTACGTCGGTGTTGCCAGGAGTCAAATGTTTCCCGAGTTCGAAGACAAATAAAACACTTATCTGCAGATCGAAGGGAAAAGTGTTAACGAAAGGGGAGACCGTGGAAAACAATTCTCGCCGTATCGAGGGACCTTCGTGGAAACGGAGCTTCTCCCCACCCTCGGGTAACGTAACCGTCGTGATTTACGGACGTGGAGGAGCGTAGTTATACCGTTTCCCGATGGGAAGAAACAAAAGTATGATAAAACGGCGATGGAATCGGGCTCTGAATCCGTACGAGTAATCGGTCGCGACGCTAAGCACGATTTATGTGGACCGATGATTCGTTCGCGCACACTGTATATTCTCGATCGTTAAAAGCTTCGTGGAAGAAAATGGAATTTTCGAGAAAGACCGTTGCCACGTTGCTTGCTCGAGTCTCGATCACTTTCATCTAGTTTCTTCTGGACCATAACGTTTCTCGACACTTTATACACGTTCCTTTCTCGATACATCGAAGTCACGTCGTTACCAATATCGACGTTTCGTTGGGGAGAAAAAACAAACAGGGCGAAAACCACATCCGTGGTATTTTCACGCAAGAAAACGCCACCACGGGACAGGGACGCCTAAATTCGCGGGAAACGGAGACCTACGAGAGTCTCACGTGCTTTCACGCACTAGATCCCTCGGAATCGGTCGGAAACACCAGTGGATATTGCCGGGGAAACGTAAACTGCACGTAATAATTGTACAATCTCGACCGCGTTTAAATGACATGCAACCACCGGGGTAATTTTTGCGACGATTTTTTGCCCGACCTTTCGATTATTACGGCTACAGTAGTAAGAATCAATAATTAATTAACAATGCTACTTTCATGTTGCTTTAAAAAAATTACTCGAAAAAGTGTAGTATGTAATGAGCGATCTACTATCCTTTTCGATATTCGTTTCCAAGAAAGTCGACGAACCATATCTAACAGTAATATTCGCCATTGGTCTCACCGATCGTACTGATAAATCCTTTAAATGTAGATCTCTGGATTTAGTTTTTTTTAAATTGCAATCCAGATATTGTACATGCGCAGAAAGCTCGAAAAAAAACCGCGATTGTTAGTCTTAAGTGATCAGTAAACAGCGGATTTTATGCATTCATATATAATAAAAGGCAAAACTATCACTATTTTCATCCAATAAGATATTTACTGGAACCAAGCAATTTCTACATTCATTCTTGTCTTCATGAATTACTTTAAAAAATGTCATTTCGTATAAAAATCCGTAGTCTAGCGATCAGGAACTTCGCAACGATACACTTCGAAAGGGCGGCCATATTGGATCGACGCGTGAAAAGTGGTTAACGCGTTGCGGTGGCTCTCTAATAAATTCGATTCTATTCGTTCCAAATTACCTTTCCCGCCACGGTGCACCGTATTACGATTGCATAATTCTCGCTAATACGCTTTTGCATAACCAGTCCTCGTCATTCCGCCCCGAGGTTCGATCAGATGCGAGACGAATCCATGGAAAATCAACGGTGTGCTGTCGCTAGCGTTTTCTCGTCCGGACGACCCCTCCCCGTTCCCTTCCACTTTCATGGGATTAATATCACCGTCGGGGCGTTTCGCAAGACGCTATCGAATCCTGTGATCGCGTGACCAGAACCGGAGGCTGGGTTTTCGTCTTAGAGACGGCGGTTAATAGCGTTTTTTCGCGACTGTCTCGGCAAATACCCCCTCTACCTCCTAGAATTTTTCGGCGAAAGAAATTCTCTAGAAGTTATCTCACCAGTTAACTATCGAATTACGAAAAAATTACCTGCAACATATGCTAGGCATTCTATTAAGTATCAATGTATAATATAGAATTTTAATATAATAAAAGAAAATATAGAAATTAGTTTGTATCGAATGAAGGGACTCAACGTCGAAAGAGAATTTAGTATCCAAGCTCATTTGATCTAACGAGGAGACATCAGTGATTCTACCCCGGGGAAATTTCTTTGAATTGAATCGCTCGAACCGTCAGCCTGGAAGTCGCCTTCCTGACAGAAGATCGCTTGTTATTTGTTACGTAATACGACCGAGCAATCTGGTATCGGGGAGACGCGTTAGTTCAACGGCGAACATTGCGACAGCCCGGGGCAAGGACGTTGGGACCTGTCTCGCCGAGGGCTACGATCTCGTGAATGAACCCGAGACGAGAGTTTACAGGATTTCCTCAGGGCGTCCGTTCAACTTTTGTCATCCTCTGAACAGTATATAGTCGTTTATTTTTCCGCTTACTGTCACTTGTAACGCCGATTAAAACTATATAAATATCCCTTGATCGAACAATTCTGATTAGCTAATTGATTATTCCGTGACGGTTGATAGGCCACTAAAAGTGAAAAGTAGCATTTGGAAGGCGTTACGACATCTTTCTAGACAGACACATTTGAATACAGAAGCGTTCAGAATAGATCTCTGACCTACATAACCAAACACGCGTCTTCTAGCAGCGACAATCGTCCAGACGCATTTAAATTGTAAATGATCCATCATAATTCTATTCCGCGTGACCTCTTGGCTCACACGAAATCTCCGAACGCGAGAAGAGATCCTAACTCACGGTATTACCATACAAACAAAACAATAACGTCACAATAACAACGGTTTATTCCGTTGCAAAACGGTATAAATACGCATTTAATTCATGTTTATTATTAAATAGAACCGGTCCCAGTTTCCTCCAGAATCCTAATTACTCGGATGAATATAGATGAGGAAGGTTTCTGATCGTGCAGCGTGTTTTCGCGAACCGAGACCGAAGCACTCAGAAACGAGAGTGTAGAAAGTCCAGGCAGAAACGCATGGATCCTCTCTGTTTTGCACGCTTTTACACGACGAAGAAGTACGATACAACCACTCTCCATTTTCTAACGGCTGAGATTTTATCGGTGAATGACTAGCCCACGAAGGTTTCAGGCCAGTATCGACCGAAAATCGATGAAGTTGCGGCAATTAGAGTACCGATAATTCTGGACTAACAATCGTAGAAAGTTTCGCGAGAAAGGTTGCTCAGCCGGCTTCTATTCGACCAACAAAGTTTCATTCCAACGCGCTAAGCAAGGTCGACCATCTACTTAAAAAGTTCACGAAATCGATAGTCGATACTCTAAATACTTTCGATCCGAAGTGTCCCACGACGTTGACTAGAAGCAAATTAACTTCGAGCGCACAGGTGCCGCGATAATTCTAGAGAACGCAGCTCTTGAACGCCCCATATAGACGATACGATTTGTCGTACAATCGATCGTACCAAACTGGATCGCTTCGACCGTCTGAACGACAGTTGCAACGTTTAGGGAAGCTAAAAATCGGTCGTTCTAACCAGGGCTTGAAACCTGTTATGACATCGATTTAGGTTACAAAGACCCTAAATTCTAGACTACATCGCTACACTTCATTATTATTAAAGTCATAATAACACAAAAATCAAGAAATACGTAATTATTTGCAACGTTTAGGGAAGGTAAAAGTCGTTCCTTCTAACCAGGGCTTGAAATCTGTAATGACATCGATTTAGGTTAAAAAGACCCTAAATTCTAGACTTTATTATTATTGAAGTGATAATAACACCGAAAGCAAGAAATACGTAATTAGTTGCAACGTTTAGGGAAGCTAAAAATCTGTGGTTCTAACCAGGGCTTGAAACCTGTTATGACATCGATTCAGGTTACAAAGACCCTAAATTCTAGACTTTATTATTATTGAAGTGATAATAACACCGACAGCAAGAAATACGTAATTAATTGCAACGTTTAGGGAAGGTAAAAATCTGTAGTTCTAACCAGGGCTTGAAACCTGTTATGACATCGATTTATGTTACAAAGACCCTAAATTCTAGACTACATCGCTACAGTTCATTATTATTAAAGTCATAATAACACAAAAATCAAGAAACATGTAATTTCACCATCTGTTCATACTAATTCAATCACCCACTGTTATAACAATTTGAAACAGTTACTTTCGGAATGGTTTCAAGCCCTGTTCCTAGCTCCCAGTGCAGCTTCACGTTCGACTTGTATAAAAAATCGTATCGTCCATGTGATCCTTTCAGATCCTACATCCTGGACACTCGACTGAAATAGTTAAGGAACACCTGGACCAGAAACACATATATCCTCTCACTTGTGACAGAGCCATCCTTGTTCCCCGATGGTTGATCCTGTATCCAGCCTCTTGTATCACCTCATATCCGGTCAGCGGGGACCAGGATCGATTCTCCCGTCATCGCGTTGCACCGATCGCGAACGATATATCGAACCACCAGTGAAAGAAGAGAGGCCCCGTTGTTGAACTTCTCGTCGAACGATCGAATAGAACCGCGACGAACCGAGGCGACCAAAGCTGAGTGAGCTCTGCTCTCTCGCGAAAGTCTCTCTCCCTCTCCCACTGGATTACACCGCCCCCTCCTTCAATTAATCGCGGATCGAACGAAGGAAAAACTTCCCTTTCTCATCGTGTAGGCTCTCTTCGATGCCCCCCCTATAGGGAGCAACACTAGGGGAGGGGGCCCGCCAATGGCGACGGAAGAGGAAGGAGGGCTTTTGCGCAGGAACTTTACTTACGATCCTCATGGTGTGTGTAATCCAACGGTTCCGTTTTCACGTGGCGAATCGACGCCAGGTAAGAAGTTTCGTACGACGGTTGAACGGAGTCTTGGACACCGACTGCAGAACTGTATGATTTTCCAGTGGTAAGGAAGATGGTGGTGGTAGGTCTGCAACTTCCTCTCTCGCGAAGGGTACGTTTCTCGGGTCTGGAAGGGAGACCTGGTGATACCTCCTACCACGGGGAAGGTCGACGACGAGGTAGACACCGGGAATCAACGCGAACGTAACGCCGATAAATGGTGGATCGTAGGTGGGTATGAGCTATACGCTGGTTGCCGTACAGGGACCGTTTGACGCTAGGTGGGGGCTGTTCCTGGGACTTATATGTCGCCGCTGGAGGCCAACCGTTGGCTCTTTTTATCCCCCTCACTCTCCTCCACGGCCCTCGTGGATCCGAGCCTCCCCGAGACCTGGGGGGAGCCCTTGACGATGGTCAAGGTGACATATGCCCCACGGGGACACCACGCGACATTACCGATCGCGGGACATTAAGGATCGCTTCAGGGAAATCGTTGTGACGCCTCTGCGATCCTGGCTGTCTTCTATGCGACATAATTTGCCAATCTTTTCTGGGCCTTTTTGAACATACTTTTTTCTCTTCGGCAGGCCCTTCGAGTAATCTATCTCTGTTATCGAAATATCCAAGTGTGTGTTATTTTCGAATTTGAAAAAAGTTAGATTGAAAGTAAAGGAAATAAATTAGAACCTACCCTTTCGGAAATACTCAGCGACCACTGGTAGGCGGTTGCGCTTACTTTGGGGTGGGTGGATTTTTTAAATTTAAGGATTGTCTCGATGAGTTTGGGGTCTGGGTTCAGAGTTCAAGTTGTCTAATTGGGGTGACTGTAACGGTTGTGATGTCATTAGATAGATATGAAAATTGGGATAGATCAGTTTAGAGATTAAATGATATGGTGATCTAAACTTTGGATTGATAGTGGTTTGATTGGACAAACTGTTAATTCGATCGATCTTGGGCCTAACTTAGGAGGTTGATCGCGAAGATGACGTTTCATCCTCATGGGATATAAGTGGGTGTTCAATGCGGGAGCCTTGCCAGTATGTTTAATGATTACAAGCCTACAGTTTTCATAGACTTTTTTCTGAACGTTGAATATAACGATAATTTACAACACATTCGTCGTTAAAAAAAAACCGGAAGAGCCTCCAAATCCAGGGATGAGCACCTTGGGGATAAGGAATATGCTTTCGATCATCGAAACAACTAAATATTCATAGGAATTTGTCATATAAAATGCATGAATAAACACGGAAGAACGGTTTATTCATAGCGTTACGGTATTCACATAAAAATAATTTAAAAATTAAATCACTGTGGCGTTTCGCGGACAAAGGGGAAAAAAACAGTTGCAGCTAAATTATTCAATCGGTTGATAATGAGTCAACGGTAAGAACGAGTTTACCTAATCGAATCCACGTGTCAGGCCGGTTTGTATCACGAAAAAAAAAGGAAGAATGAAACACATCTACCGTCGGGGAAATCGTCGTCGTTGCGAAATCGAATTACCGTCGATTACCCCCGCGATCTCTATTAGAACGATCTCGTTCACGATTTCCCGGTGACGCTTCGGGAATGATTATAGCATCAGCGGTCTCGATAGGAATCCGGATCTGTCAGCTCTGCGATTAACTGACGTCAGACACCCGCAACAAGAACACCTACTCGTTTGCGTGGCGAACATCGTTCCATTATAAAATTAAGACGACACCCTGGCAAAAAATTATTGTTTTAATCGTACCCCGTTACTTTACCATCTTGTTGAGCCAACGTTTTCTCTGTCTAAACCAGTGTTTCCCCACGTGGGACATCGAGGGGAAATTTGAACATTTTGTGAGGCAATTAACAAATATTAACCCCGTTTCCAAAGGTGATATGTACGAATTGTTTTAAAAGATAGCAAAGAAGATATAGTAAAAAGCTTCCTGGCTGTTATTTATTATAGCGACGCCTACAATGCAAAAATATTGAAACAAAAATTTTTTTTATTTACTTGAATGTATAATAATTAAAGGCCAGGAAGTTTTTTTGCCATATCTTTTTTGCGTTCTTTTAAAAAAATGTCTAAATATCACCTTTTTCTCTGGTCGATAAAGGGGAAAGGGGCCTCAATGTTAAACTTTTTTAGAACTTGCTTTACTAAATTCTGCTGGGGGGCATCGAGATCTTTGAGTCGTTGGGGTGGGGCATGATCTAAAAAAAAAGGTTAGGGAACACTGGTCTAGACGGACCGATTTATCGGCGCCCATTTGTCGCGATCCGACGAAAAACATCCCCCAGCAACGATCATCCTTGTACGTACATCCTCGAATCGTCGACATCGATACGCAAAATTTTTTGCTCTCCCCTTGATTATGATCATCGATTGCGCAATCTTTATCAGTTTGCTACTGATTTAAGCTGTGTCAAAAGAAGAACCGATCTCATTATCATCAGATCGCAAGCCGTTTCGCCGACAGCTGAAAACAGATCGTTACGTAATTGGATTGTGATCGCGAGAGCGCATTTCGAGCGATTTCTTTTTTTTGCGCAGAAAATTTCAGGTTGTCTTCAAGGAGATCGTTTCTCACCGACACAGGGCAATTAATCGGCTGGCAAGCCAGTCTTCGCATAATTTCCGCCGGGGAATATAAATCGGTGTCATCCGACGACGATTATCGCGACGACTTCACTGGAGGGGGCTGAGAATCTTCGCGTCGTTAGACGGAAATTAGCCGCGGTGAAAAAGAGACAGAAAAAAGACGCGTCCCGTTATCGATCCTTGTCTTCATCTCGCAACGTCCCGTGATCAAGCCAGTCGAGGACGGATCTGCATGCGCGATTCGACTCGGAAATCGCGATCGATCTAGTCAAGGGAATACCAACAATACGTTTTCGGTGCGACGAGGCCGTGGTTGACACTTGACGCATGTTTTGCCAACTTGTCCCTTCATTGGGAGACCTTAAATGTATCGGATTATCTAGTTCGAATTGTTTCGTGGAATCGAACGGATATGGATTAGCTGTTTGTGTTCGAAGCTGTTTTAACAGTGGGAACCGAGCAACTACGACGATTTAATTTGAAAAATTTTATCGAGCTTGTGGTTCACCTAGTGATATAAAGCGTTGAGTTGCTGGTTTCCCCATAGCTAAAACAATTTCAAGTACAGATGCTGCATATTTCTTTTTTTCAAGTAATGTTTTTGTGTGTATTCTTGTTTGTCCTAAAATATTCTAAAATCTGTTAAGATTACGAATATATTTTTTGTTTTACCTAAATTTTACGTTAAATAACAAATGCAACTTTTTTTATTTAATGACGAGTTTACTCGTCAGTGTCACTAAATCTACCGAACCCTTCAAGGAGGCAGGAATTAGAATGGCAAAACTGGTTATTTGACCGAACATAGTAGGTTTAATGTAAAATAAAAAATGTCATATTTTAATTAATAATTAGTTGTCTCCTGAGTACAATGATTTCAGAGGATACCCAGAGAAATGGGATCAGCTTGCATGTCCTAGTTACAAGGTCCGCAGAGCGAATTTGTTTCTATCCTCTTCAGATCCTTAGAGCCTAAGGGAATCTCCTTTTCGTTTCGTGGAGGTTCAATCTGTACCGAAAGGGTTGGAGAGTGGCCGAGAGTGCGTCCTTTAGGTTTCTTGACCTTCGTCGAAAATAGTATCGTCGGCCTTAACCCGATAATCAGCGTGCTTTCAGCCGCGACACTGTGCAAGGATATGCTTTCCAATACCATGGGCGCCTGAGGAAGGCTAGTCCTTGAACGATCGGCCGGTCTGGATCTCCTAAATTCGGTTGGACTTGCGAGGCCGTGAAATTTCTGGTCGTTTCAGCGTGTGGCCTTGGGTTTCTTGCGCTTCTTTTTCCACACCACAATTGTCGAGCTTAGCGAATCAAAAGTTCAATTTCACGCTGAACAATTCGTACGTGTACAGTAGACATTTTAGAAATTGGTACTTTTATCGTTTCATAGACTATTGGTCTCGTAAAAAATTTAAACTTTATCTCGGGTGTTGTAAATAATCAAGAATGGATTTTGGTGAAAAAGACAATAATCTAACGGAACGTGCGCACGTTGCAGAATTTAGAGTAGATTCCTGTAATTGGTAAATCACGCCAGGAATCTAGATCAATCGGCGAATCACGCGACCAATTATATCGGGAAACCTGTTCCGATCCCGATAAATTTGCATACCGTTTAATCTCCTCGAGCCGGTACACTACACTCCTGTACTCACTCATCTCGATCGAATGTACTCTAAACGAGCTTTTAATTAACTGCAGCCGGTAATAACCGAGCTTCCATTTGGGTATCTACGACGTTGACTTTATAAATCGGTTACGTAACCGTCCCCGTAACAATTTAGAACGTATTGTTTCAGGGAACCGCCTAATAATTATATTCGATCGGTGCAATAGACAACGCGTCGGTGTACGTACGTGCCGAAACAGCGGAACCGTTTCATTACGGTCTCGTTCTCTGGCCACGAACGGATTGTTCCGCGATCGGTATTGCGAGTGAGCCTCGATCCGATCGGGTTACCTCGATTACGCTTTATTACGGGGCAAATACGGCCGCTAAATCGAGAGTCGAATACACGTGAAATTACAACGGTATTAAATCAATAACCGAGAGCGATCCTATCTTTACCTGGAATGCTATTACAGACAGTTTCCCTTTCGGTTTCGTTTCTAGAGCGTAGGAAACCTTTAGAGCCCGATTTGTCCGAAAGTCGATCGTGTACGAGTCACGAAAGTGTTCGGGCCACGGGTCCTTGATCGATCGCGTCCTTCGTTGCAATTTTCGATTCCTCGATCTCGCTCCGTTTCCCTTCACGGTTATTAAATTGTCCGTATATTCGATCGGACGCGAGGAGACGGACGACGAGAGAGGCAGGGCAAAAAATTTTACGAAGGTCGACGGTGGAGTTGCGCGCAATTACCGTGGGACATATCGTGAAATTGAAAAAATAATACGGACGATCGGTAAGGATCCTTATGAAATTCCAAGGATGCCTTTAGTCATCTAGGGTAACGTTTCAACG